GATGTAACACAACAAATATGGAATAAGTCAAGGGGTATGAATACTTTCTGAAGGCACTGTAGGCCCATGTAGCCTATGTAGGGGACCTTTCAACGCAGTCATCTCGGTTTTCATTTGAAGCATCATTTTATCGTTCACCTGTTTGTAACAATTGTAATTATCCTACTTTGGCAACTTTGCATTTGTAGTCAACGTGTTCTGAAGTTATCCGCAGTCACAGTCAGACAGATAGCCTAAACATCTTGATTCTATGTTTAGCGGAGATCTGTGAATAAAGTGCGGCGGAACGGAAAAACAATAATTTAGTGATGCACTTTGGCTGCTTTGTGAGTGGTCTGGATCACTCGCAGATGTGCGAAGGTTTGCATTTGAGTAATAACTCCCCAATTATATTAACACTACGAAGGCTATGGGAAACGAGGCCCAGGTATACAGTAGATATACCGCTGTTCGTAGTCAAGCCTATATTACTGTTTGACTATAGGGTTCAATTGTAAATTGGTTCAAATAATTGTTTTTGACTATTTCTTTTTACAAAAAGGCTAATCAGTCTGACACAATTTGACAATGTCAGAGTTTCTGAAAATATCAATATTGTTAATATCATAGATTAACCATGTAAAAGGAAAACACAAGGCTAAACTGTGGTATGTCTGGTGTAGGACTATGTCCAACTGCACCTGTTGAACAAGTTAAAAAAATCCCTCCCTGCCTAAATTATATTTCAAAGGATATAGCCTACAAAGTGCAGATTATTGGCACTCGTGGTTATATAGGCTATGCTACGTACCCTATACACAATAGTGCATATTTGAATTATTAATAGGGGCAGTATTGGTTCATTTCACGCCTCTAGCAGTAAGTGTATGGTTTGAGTGTATGCGACAGGTCCTACACCACAACGCCTGCCAACAATCACAGCCTCTGCACAAATCCCAATTTGCACTTTGCATGATTCTAACCTTATTACTATTTTCCCAAATTCATAAGCTTTGAAAACGCACATGTTGACAACCCACCGTCTATCAAAGCATCACTTTGACACCCAGACATCACCACGGGGCAAGATTAAGGATCCAACCAATGATAATTAAGGGAGGATACTCAAATGCGTAAAATACACCACCCATCCGGCCTCTCTGTTTGTGCAACTGTGCGGGTAAAAGCGTGCGCGTAATAGCCCAAGCCAACCACGCCACCATCCAAGAGCCAACCATGTCACCTCGCGGGTCTCGTGCGCATAATTACTGTAGAAGTGTTTGTATTGTTTGGGATAAAAACGATCTGATGATATTCGTGTTAAGAGAGTGACGCAAGTGGCGTAGTAATGAGAGTGCGGAGGAGAGTGTAAGTGTTACCTCATTTTGATAATGACTAAGATATCGCAGCCATTACATCAGTTGGAAAATGCAGCAGCGATTAAAGAGGGCCTACACGGTTGGTTCCTCGAGGCAACGAGAACAAACCAGCCCTCTGAAGCCCGTCTGTTCTGTTCTGGGTAATGTGTGTCATGGCAATGAAAGGCCTGAACATCTTCGTTTAATTTTTAACACCCATTCCCTTCGCCTACTCCAATCAACCAACCAACCGCTTGGTATTCTCAACAATAAGTGCTCAAGAAAATAGTCTAGGCTCCCATACCTTTATCAAAAGCTGCATGGACGGAATTGCCAAGGTTATAAATCAGGTAATACTCAGAATATTTCTGGGGATATTGTAATTGGTATCAATATGTTTGGCCTACAATGCCCCATGTGTGCAGCTGATTTCATATGCGTGTTCTGCCTATAGAGTGTAATATATTTATCAAAATAATAACACTAAATCAACAAAGCATGACTACTTGAGCCATGCAAATGTTGAATGTACAGTTTGATCTTTGAAGTTGTTGTTTTTTACCACATGGGGAACTTCGGCTGGTTAATTTTATTCTGCGAGCTTTAAATCTAGAATCCTAGTTGCTACATATAAATGGATGATACATAGGCAACCCATTGATTCTTGAAGAATATAACTTATAAATGCCTCATGAGCTTAGGTTAACTGTCGTACCCCAACAGAACCCAAAATACACGTTTGTTTTACTCCAATGTTTGTAAACAAATTAAATGTATACAAACACTGTATAGCCTCAAAACATGGTTAAAACTATAATTTTGATATAACGGATGGCCAGTCCTTGCATCCTTTGCTTTCTGTATGAATTTGAGAGTGGTTACATTTCTCTAGGCCCATCCCTCAGCTTTTTACCAAAACACAGGCGGGGTATCCACTGTGTTATTGTTTCAATTAAGGATTCTAGCTTTAAGTATTTTGTCTGCATGACACACTCACGGACAGTGATTTTCATCTCAAATTATTGTGAAAATTGGGAGGCCTATTTTTTTTTTTCAATTAAAAATGCACAAAAATATGATTTTTAATCAACATTGATTTATATTTTAGTTAGGTCAGCATAAGTGGTTGACTTTATGATTTCTTGCTATTTGTTGTAAATGTTGAATATTTTTGTCAATGTTGGGATAATCTGAAACGATCCGACATGAGAACGGGGGCCACGGCTATAGTCATATGAATATGAGGGGCAACTGCCTATTAATTCACATAGCGGTTGAATGGCTTATTATTAATGAATTGGAATGGCGCACCCATCCTTTGCCCAGAGCAATAAATAAATAATGTTTAGAATCCATGCATACGATAAAATGCCTCCTTACTGGTGCTAAATTGGACATTTGTGCAATACTGTTGATGAGCAGACAGCTCATGTAAAAGCAGATCATATTTAGTCAAGTTCATTTGTTTTCCATGAACGATTACCAAATTACCAATCAGTCCTAAAGTAAAAAAAAAGAAACAATGATTTTGTGCATCGTGCAATTCGATGGCATTTAGGCTAATTGTTCCTAATAGCCTGCCCCCCCCCCCCCCCCCCCCTTCCCCCAATAGCCTAAATTATACGAAAAATAACATGTATAGCCTAATACTAGCCTAACTCATCAAAATGTTGCAATATCAATAATGATGGTGTGCATCAATACAAATCTGATTTGCCATACAGTGTTCGTGTGAATACCTCCTTGGTCCCTCACCTGGGGGAGCATATATTGTTTTATCTGTTTGTTAGCTTTTAATTAGGCAATCTAATGGTGGACCACTGAACTATCCCGCTTTTCTATCCTCAAATGGGAAGAACGTCTGACGCTTCTTGTGTTTACATGCTCTGCAGTCTCTGTTGTGAACACCAATTAATACATATGCAAATAACGCTGCAGGAAATATGAGAACAAATTATTTGTTTATGGGACACATAATCCCTATATTTGAGGCATCGTCAATTTATATTTATTTTCGTTCTTTTTTCAAGAGCTACGTTTTGTTTTACAGTTTACATTTCATTGGGACAGTCACTTATAGCCTAATAAAGACAATAGTCCAGGTTATTTTCTTATTTCATTGCTAAACTGCGAGGGAACTGCAATTGGGCAAAACCTACGTAAATCAGCCTAGTGTTCCCTTGTCACTGTTGAGACCAGCAAAGGTCAACTTGGCTGGAACAGGATTTTAATAACACAGAAATCAGCAAACGATTCACCAATTAGGGAAGCCCAAACAAACGTGCCCCAAGGCGCTTCTATCGGAGAGTCAATTCACTTGAATGCGCCCCCTCGCCACTATTCTCCAGGGGGCGTGATTATACTTTTAAAAAATACTATTCTAATGTTCATTTAATTATAGTCCTACGTTATATGTATATTTTTTTTAGCTCTGTCACCGATAGCAAACATACACGTTGTCCCAGATAGAAAATGATAAGAGTATGCAAGACCCGAGACAGGCGCAAAAGGCCTACAATCCAGCTGATAAATGTTTTTAAGAGGAAAAATGGCTTTGATATTTTGCACAGGTTTATATCTTGTTGTAAATCACTGCCCTCTCTGGCCCTAATAAGTAAAACGTTTTCGCTTATTAGTCTACCACTAGCATTAAGGCCTATCTGAGTCTGGTTTGAGTAGGCCTAGCCTAAATATTGTCATTTTTTCTTCAAGACGATTTAATAAATGTTCCGTTTTCACTTTTAAATCAACGGATAATGCCAAAATATGGACAACGAACAATATAACATTTCCAGTGAAATGTTGTTTGTTTACTATTTTTTTCTTTAGTTTTAATGTGAGTGGACTTTTTAATCTCTCACGCTGAGAAGCCTCGCGCTTGCTGTCTGTCCGGTGCGCTTGTCTCGAGCGTTGTGCTCCCATAGAACAGCTGCTGCGCGAAGACCACCTTCCCGATTCCCATGGTACCAACCCAGCATCTAATCAAACCATTAATTCTCACCATCACATAGAGAGAGCTGCCTGCTGCATATGCATATAGGCGACGGAGGGTAGGCGACAGTTCTCGACAAATTAATGCGGTCACATGATAAAGTGAAAAGTAGCCTAAAGAAAGTCCCTTATGCATTGCCAATTCACATACATAGCCTCATGTTCGATTAAATAAACATGTAGGCCTAGTCCTAACTTTGAATCTATAGGTGATTTTAAATCTATAGGAAATACATTTATTTAGGAAATATATCAATTGTAAAACTTTAAATCCGGGGATTCGAGATGAAGATTTCAGATGAAAGGCTAAATCCCCCAAAAATGTGACGTCTGATAATTGGTTATGTAGGCTACTTAAATTTTTAAAAATTAAAATAGGCCTATTATCTTTATAATTCGTGCTACAGAGGTTATTTCAGGAGCAATCGCTTTGGACTTGTATGCTAGGCCTCTTTTAACCTAATTAACTGCACATTATCAGAATGTAAACAAATATTTTTATTGGTATGTCGTATTAACCTTATAGGCCTTAAGCTTTCAGCCTGCAGAAATATTAATGCCACATGGCGTTTTGAATGTTTGGATGACAATGAAGTTCGAAGTTCAGTCTGGCTGCCCCGGACATCTTTCCCATAGAAGTATCCGAGAAGAATCATTTTAGTATCATTCCGTCTTTATTCAACCCTTTCTCTCCATCTAATAAACTTTATAAGTTTATTCGCTAGTATAAGTGTATTTGTACAAAAAAAACTAACAAACATTCAATCAGACATATGAACAGTCCTTTTTCTGTCATGGCCTCGACTCGATGCTGCAGACAGTTCGTGGTTAGGCCTACGTCAATACTGGCTCTCCGTCATATTCAATATTACCTCCTTTTACTTCTTCTGTAAAGTTGTCTTTTATATATTGTCTTTTTCAAATGTATTTTTCATCGTTCGTTCAGCGCAGTTAGTCACATCACATGTGGACCAGGTTAAAACTGTTTTTATGGAATCGTCTTGTTGTTGTTTCTACCGCTGATGCTGCGTGCCGGGCATGGGGTTACCCAGCGGGTTCAATGCCGGTTGGCCCCCCGGCCCAAGGCCATGGATGAGTACTCTCGGGACAAGAGGCCTCTGGAGACCGGGATGTGGTTGCTGCGGAGTCCGGTACATACTGCTGTACATTGCTGCGGCCGCGGCGGCTGCTGTTGTGCTGTCCATTGTGCCCAACAAGCTCGGGTGGTAGAAATAGGGCGACGGGAACATTCTTTGTAAGGCGGAATAATTTCCGGCTTCAGCCAGTAGCTCTAATCCGACCGCTGTCTGTCTTTTCCACTTGGTCCTGAAATCAGATCAAAATACAACAAATCAATTATTTAACTGGTTCAGACTCTGAGAATTCCCCAAACGGACCCTTAATTGGTGAGGTCTAATTATTTGCAGCATGAATCGGTGGTTATGCCTTTAATTAGCCTAGGAAAGGACACATCCAAGAAAAGTTAGGCTACTTCAAGTGCACAGTGCAGTGCCTATATTTAGTTGATAAGATTATAGATTAATTTCAGATCATTACTCCCTCACTTGATCCTTCTCGCTAGGCCTCACCAAGTGCACTGTAAACATTGGCAGGCTAACTTTAAGATGGTAGGCTATAGCCTATTTAGGCCTATACAATAATTTATAAAAACGTAGGCGTTGTATTAATATTGGCTATATTGAAGGAGAAAGAAAACTGCAGGATTTTAAAATGATTGCAGTCATACCATATTTTGTCATTATATTGGGTTGTGTCTGTATTTTTTTGGCTACTATGTCGGCGCCGGCGCTGTTAACACTAATCTTGGCTGACATTTGGGGATTCTTAACAATGATGCCGGAGAGGCAAATTGTGCATTGTCAACATCATGTAGCGATTGTTCAGACAGACTTTTATAACCCAAGATTGATGTGTATTTCAATAACCAATACCATGTAATAAAACTGTGTGGGTTAATCTTGTAAATAAATATCCTTATGTGTCTGGGTCCATGGCAACCATTTTGATTAGACCTGTTTAACTATTCCTCTTGATCTGTTCTAAAGTTATTCTATTGTACTGTATTCTATTCTATTCGATTCTATCTGTTCAGTAGTCCTAATTGTCTGAAATCCATGCACGTTATGGGCCTGCATTTAAAGACAACAAAAGCCTAATACAAAAAAATACACTTAACTGCACATCAACCACAGGCCAACTCCTATTAATTATATTCCAGTCTAACGAAATTAAGTAAAAGACAGCACATGCATCCACCTTATATAGTATTATTATAGGCTTACATTACTACAATTATTAAAATGGTATAACATTAATATTAGTAGGCTATATTCATGTAAATAACATCACCACCAATAAAACGAGTGTAATAATAAAAACATAAACTAATAATAATAGCCTAATAATAATAGAGATGATTAAAAAACAAAAACATTGTGAAGATAATGATGTTCTATAATAGGTGTGACATACCGTCGGTTTTGGTACCAGGTTTTCACCTGTGTGTCGGTCAGGTTGAGTGCTGCCGCGAGGTCCATGCGATCCTGCACACTGAGGTATTTTTGGCGCTCGAAGCTTCGCTCGAGTTGGTTGAGTTGATGGTCTGAAAAGGCCGTCCGTGCTTTACGAGGTTTTTTTGACCGTGATTGAGGACTATCTCTGCTACTTGAAATTTCCCGTTCATGCTCTTCTTTTGTTCCTGAATGGGAAAAAGAATAAGTGGATAATAATTTCAGTTTTTATATAGGCCTAATTTAAGCCTTTATGGTTCAATGGGTCAATGAAAATAAATTAGCAACAAATAAATGTCCTATTAGTTCTGAGCCAAAATAAGGTCAAAATATGTATGAAAAATTGAAATCAATTGAAATAAACAGTTGGTTTAAAACTTTGAACCTCTTACAATACTATTTTATAAAGCTGAGCAATCGAGTTGAAACTGAAGCACTTCATTTGTCAGACAGCCAGCAAAAAAAAATAATCTACGGCCAATAAGAAATCCGGACTGTATTTGTCAACTTAAGTTTTTAGCAGTAAAACTGGGAAATCGATATGTCAATCCATCTCTATTTGTAGCAGTTTCTGCAGTGCTCGTGATCCGCCCTCTAGGAAGAACAATAATCTCTCTAATTGACACACAAGGGAGGCTAGCGCACCGGGAACATCTCGCGCCAGCCTTACATCTGTTTTCGATTCTGTTATGCTAATAAAAAAGGGCAACTGAAAATCAACCCTTTAATATCATTGTCTAATAAGACAGCCTTTGAAAGATATACACAACGTGGTCTACATTCAAGGCAGTTAGCCTATATTGTACACTGTGTTTTAGCTTTAAAATAATTATACCAACCTAAAAAGCCTACTAAATAGCATTATAATGTGACTTTGAATTTCCATGTGCGTAAAATATATATTACAAATAAAAGTATTCTTCTTCTTGTTACTATTACTGTTGAACTATTAGGCATATTGGCGCAATTGGCCTATTCAATTTAATGGTTATCTTCCAATAAAATATTTATGTAGGCTAGGCTACTATCAACTTTTTTAGGCAAAGACAATTCAACACAAATAGGCTTTGTATGTGAGGTTTGTATGTATTTTGCACAACATTAGCCTACTATGACAGCCTACCCAATAAAAAGCACGTTTTTAGGTACACTGAAAACCTCACTTATGTCATCCAATAACTAAACCATAAAAAAGCATACAAAACATTTCTATATAGGCCTAAGTGTAACCTAAATATTCGCTTACCGTTGCATTTCATTTCCATATCGTCTCTTTTGTCCAACTTGCTCCTGTTTTCATCTTGTTCCAACTTCGGCCTGAAGCCGTCCCCACCGTCCCTGGCATTCTCTGGTTTGGGGGTGTGATGGGGTGACGGTACGCTGGTGCTGTAAGGTGCGCACGCTGCCAGGGGTTTGCTGTCGCCTAAAATGTCTTTGATTAAAAACGAAGAGGTGGCAGTCCTGGGGGCACAGCCGGCCCCGGCCCCGGCCCCTAGCTGCTGCGGTTGGGGCGATAGCTGCAAACGCCCTGGTTGGTTGTGGTGGTGGTGGTGGTGCGGTAGGCTGTCTTGGAGCAGATGCGGCTCGGCGTGCTCCATGGTGACCGAGATGGGGGAAGAGGGGGCCGTTCCCACCGTGTCTATGTCCGAACATGAAGGTGACGGGGTGGCCTGGCTCCGGCTGAAATCCGCTGTCCTGCTGTCACCGAGGCGGAAATCTCCGTTCATTAGCGCAGTGTTAACTGAATTAGTAGCGTTGGATAAAATAGTGTCTATTCCAAAGTTCGATCCGCTGGAGGATTCCATAGTAAGAAAAGGAAATAAATACGGTGATTTAGGTCTTCATAACAACATTAAGTTTTATCCTCCATACAATTAAAAACTAAACGAAAACTATAAGACAACACGAACAGAGGCACATGTACTCCTAAAAGTCAAACGAATTTAAGAGTTGAAATTGTCAGGAAAATAAACAAAACCGAAATCCACGTTTTATATTTCTTTAAAACGCTAAGAAAAAATATGGTCCAATAATATGTTGTTACATTCAATAGTAAATCTGGAGACCAGTGGGTCTGTCTGTGTAGTCCACGTCCTTTTGTTATGGGTATTGAACTTTCTCTCAAAGTTGTGGTGTGGAGATTCGTACGGCTAACTCCTCGACATCACGCTCCCCTTTTGCTTGTAATCGTTCTAGTGTTGCTCTACAATTACTTCCTATACTGACGTCACGGCCCACGGTGAGGGGAACTAATATTTTCTACTTTATCATAACACTCTCCGCGTTTTTCTCTTCCTCTCCTGTCATTGGTTACAGGGTGACGCCCCCCGCACCTCACCAATCAGGGAGTTGTTTCTTTATCTTGACAATCTCGAGCCAGCCATTGAATTCTGGATGATCTTTTGAGCCATGCGTATTCGACTATGCCTTGACATAATCCTTTTTCATGTAAGCAGAAAAATAAAAACCGAAATTGCTATGTTTAAAATGGAGTGATGAATAGAAAGGAAATAAAATGCAGCACTGGAAATTCACTTGCATTAGTATGTGTTGTTATACACTATTTGTTTTATGCACGAGTTGATTTGTTTTTATCAACAACAACAAAAATCTAACTTAAAACAATGTACTATATTTTTTTCCAGCTACACAATTGCAAAATACAAGAATGTCTACAACCCTATCGAAATAACATAGCTAATGCAATATGTGTCTGCTAAATAACATGCATGACATGTCTAACATGTTAATGGTTTATTTCCGTGATATGGAATGCATGAGACAGGCTCATAGAATCTCACACTCTTAGACAAAAAGGTTATAGATAGAACCAAAAAGCGTTATATTTCTTGCTTCATATATGACACCCCTAAAGGCTCTATATGCTGTAGAACCCTTTTGTAGGGTTCTTTGATAAGAACCCCAGGGGTTCTTCTTCACTGAACCAAAATTGGATCCATATAGAACCCTTGGGTTCAATATAGGGTTCTATATGGAACCAATTTCGGTTCTATATTGAACCTTAAGGGGTGCCATATATGAAGCAAGCATTTAACTATTTTAATATAGCTCATATAACTCTAACTATTTTCTAAGAGTGTAGAATGCATGGTTGTATTTTTTGTGTCAGGCCTTTCTAACAGTATAGCTTATAACTTGAGGGAAATTGTGGAGTGAATATTGTGCATTTGCCTAGCCACATATTGGTGTAGACTATTTTCCAGATAAAATGTAATCTTATTTAATCAATTGTGAATTGTATTGCTAAGTTTTCTATAATCACAAACCATACACCTAACCTATTATATGTATTATACCAGTGGTAACACATTGCAGGGATGTGAATGGAGACCGAGAGATAGTGATAAGACCTAGCGCGGTACATATGTTGGTAAATGGGAGGAGTGGTAACTGTCATGACAGCACACAGTTATCCACTCTAATTAGTACAGTAATTATGAGGCGCTAATGAACGATCAAAGGTATTAGAATTTCACTACTTTCTGATGTGGAATTGAAGGACAGAGCGAGAACGTTATATATTCCTTTCTGAAATTAGTTGCCTCGACAGAATGGCATGCTGTGCGTACATGCTCTATATATTTTCTAGTCGGTTCTATTGTGTTCCATTTGTGCTCTAAAATATTCCTGAAATTCTTATTCTGGTATTTTTCCTGCTAGAGCAACACGTTACACCTGGGTCTGACGACGAGATGTCAATATTGGCATTTTTTCGCCTGCAGATTCTCTCTCTCTCTCTCTCTCTCTCTCTCTCTCTCTCTCTCTCTCTCTCTCTCTCTCTCTCTCTCTCTCTCTCTCTCTCTATCTCTCGCTCTCTCTCTGTAGCAGGTTTGTAGTGTGGTGATGGTGGTGGTGTTTTCCCGAGCTGGCTGCGGTGGTACCAGACCGGTTAAACACTATTCTGCAACTGACCACGCTGAGATTTGGTGCTCGGGTAGGGTTCCACTAACAGACCGGCGTGGGATTCATCATTAGGTTGGTAGTGCTTTGATATTTGTTCTCTGACTTCAAATTACATGCATTGATAACGAGAACATTCATTTTATTTTATTATGTTTATTTGGATATAGACATTTTAAACCATAATATTATTATAACTTTGTTAGTAGGCCTACATTCGAACCTAAAATGTGATTTGTTGTGTGTTTGGGTTAACAACGATAGGGAGAGTTCATGGGCCTAATTTAAAAACTATCTAACACGTATAAATTACACTGTTACAAATATTAATAATTACAAAAAATATATATATTAATGTATTTCTTAATGAATTATTAATATCATACATTTATTCATTTCATCCATGAAACGGCTTAAACTTTGGGGGAGTTGATGAATTGCTCGGTTTATGAATATTATCGACAACTGCAACGAAGCTGCTCGATGGAACTCAGCTAATGTTGTTCACTGACACAAACAGGATATCGACAAAATGGATATCGTTGGAAAATAAGCTCTCGTTAACATTTTCAATATTTGTAGCCATTTCTATCCAATCCAAGTGCCATACGGGCTACGTATTCTGTATTGCTGTATTCAGTTTCTCGGTAGGCCTATATGCTATTTTGTTGCTGGCTATAGCATATATTTTGAAATGATTTACATTTAACAACAATAAGATAATGTTGCATAGGTGGAATTAACAATGATTTACCATGACAGGGTTACGAGATTTATCAAATAAAATGGAAATATGTAGAAAGTAAAATGTAATATTTACAACGATTTTGATGAAATACAATATCGATAGTGATTCCTTGAGAAGGGGGGGCTCTTTTGGAATGCGCTCCTCTCAAGCGCCAAAGACAGTACAGGCTTGATAAAACGAATTCTCGTCACAAGGCGGCGACAAAGATACCAGATTATTATGCACAATAGGCTAATAATGCCTCGTTTTGTAGCCCAATAAAGGTTGGCTATATGTCAGGTGGATTTCTAATTTATAAAATAATGAATAAAATATGATCATTAACGAAACTTTTATGTTAGGATTTGTCGATGTCCACAGAAATGCTGGCCCGTGTTGTGTGTCAAGTTGGCTGGATGTCCTTTGGGTGGTGGACCATTCTTGATACACACGGGAAACTGTTGAGCCTGAAAAACCCAGCAGCGTTGCAGCTCTTGACACAAACCAGTGTGCCTGGCACCTACTACCATATCCCATTCAAAGGCACTTAAATGTTGTGTCTTGCCCATTCATCCTCTGAATGGCATACATTCACAATCCATGACTCAATTGTCTCAAGGCTTAAAAATCCTCTTGAACATGTCTCCCCACCTTCATCTACACTGATTGAAGTGGATTTAACAAGTGACATCAATAAGGGATCATAGCTTTCACCTGGATTCACCTGGTCAAACTATGTTATGGAAAAAGCAGGTGTTCTTAATGTTTTGTATACTCAATGTATAGGATAAAAGTGAAAAAACAAACAAGAACATTATTATTAGCCTAAATAAATTGTAACTTGTTCAAGTTTAACTTGATTTGAGTATATAAGTAAGTCCAAAATGGATAACATTATGTCAAACACAAGGTTTTGTTGTGGTGTGTATCGATTTAGGCAACAGTTTTAGAATACGAATGATCTAGAACACATAGGCCTAGTTCATGGGTTTTCATGTAGCCTATTTAAGTCAACAACGGTGTGGGAGAAGAACAATCCATAAGCAATTTATTGTTCTATTTAGCTTTCCTTCTCTAGTACAAATCACTACAGACGATGAAAGCGATGGTAAAACATGTCAGTCAATCTGTTGAAGGGAACATTGCATGTTCATTAACAGCCAACTAATTGAAATGGCAACAATCAATCGCTTTATTAGGTTTAAGGGCGCTGCAGGAACAAATAAATTGAATGCTACCAGTTAGGGTATCATCTTATTAGCCTCGGCTGATGGTCGATGATGGGACAGTGAAATAGTAGTTTGCACCATATTGATTATTTCGCTGCTCTGCGTCGAAGCTGTCACTCCAGTCCACTGCCGATCTGACGTCTTTTGCTTTGGCCAGTTGCAGCATTCATTTGGAGACAAGCCACATTAGGGTGTCAATCACTCCAGGCAAGCAAGGCCAACCAAAGCCGGGCCAACTAACTAAAACAAACATTTTAATTGCATTATCTGAACCTTCAGACTTTCATAGTGCCGAATATAGGTATTTTTTTTATAACAGTATGTTGTGAATATTGCTTAAAACTCAAACGATCTCCAAAAATGTTGGTTGACGTTTTGACTGCACAATCTTTAAAATGTCCTCCTGTTCAGTAGTCATTTAAAGTATAGGCACACTAGCCTTAAAATGTATAATTTGAGTACAACCTTCATATAACTGTTTTACCATATGATAATCCACAATGTTTCGTTATCATTGTTGAGAGGGTTTACATTTCCCCAGCCCCCTCAGTAGTCTATACCAAACAAAGTGGCAGGGTCAGACAGTTGAAATGACAATTGTTGCCTTTAACCATATACATGACAGAAGAGTATAGGCCGCTGAAGTATAGAAAATGACGTATACATTAGGTGATATTATGTATCTATTCTGTTGACTCACTTCCAGTTGATCAACATCCAGTCAACAAATATCACACTTTACATGTAGGTACAAATGACAAATTATGCATTTAACCATTTGCATTACAGTAGAGGATAGGCTATTGAGGTAGAAAAGTACAATTATTTTTTATCAGTCAGTGCTCCATTCAAAACATCCAATATTTCTGCTTCAACCCTCCAGTATAAATTAGCTCAAATTGAGATGCCAAATAGACCTACTCATCAA